AACTGAATAGAACACAAGTAGTAATGATTAAACCAAAAAAATTAAATTGCGACCACTTGTTCGTAAAGTTACAAACTAGCAATTTTTATGACAAAATTATTGAGCAGATTGTAAAATCCATATAAATTGGAATAAAATCGTTTATAAAACGTTGAAGATTCAATGAAACATGTCATATATTTACCTTAAAGTCCTGCTTCCCGAGAAAACAAACTAAACATGTAATTTTGTTTTAAATAATTGGATACACTTGACGAAATTAATTTCCTTAAAAATGCACCATGAATTGTAGGGATACAAATGTACGAGTGAGTAATTAAAAAGACCGTTAGTATAAAAGAAAAAAGTACAAGGTCTGTCTAAAAGTCAGACAACACCGTTAGAACAACTTTCTTGAATAACGTTTCGCAAATAAATACGATAACATGAAAAAATAAAAATTTAGAAAAGTATAAACACAAACCATATTTTCATTTGTATCATTTATACAATTGTATAAAATATGAAAAACTAATTAGACATATGACTTCTTAATAACTTGTCAACTTTTTAGTAAGAAAATGCAGTAATCATAAAAAACATAATTGTTACATGTACTGCAATATTCATCAGGTTTTCTTTCCCTTCAAAGAAATATCAAAATATATATTCCATATATTATCATCAGCAATGTCACGTCACATTCATTCGGCAAACACGTTAACAGCTACGAGCTACGGATTGCTATACTTTTATTAATATTTATTTAAGACAAGTTGTACAAGTACTAGTAACAACTGTAGAATTAGAACTTTGAAAAATTATAATAAATACATCCAAACATGTGTGTGAAAAAAGAGAGCTTTTAAAACCACTAAGATAAATCTGTTTTCACAAACAGCTTTTTAGCAATTCTAAGTGCATTATTTCAATAAATCTGTCATAATGGTGACACTTTAGGTGAAAATGTTTACAAGAATAAGTTGTTCAACTTGACTTTTATATTAACAGTGGGAACCGCCGCGCCGCCTAACACTTCGTTAACCTCACTTTCTGTTTCTGTAGTAGACGAAAAAAATGAGCCTCAGATACTTGTTATCTACCTTTTGATCTTTTGTGGCAAATGGTTTGAATATTGTGAAGGAAATAAAGAAAACTATGCTAGGTCTCATTATCAACATAGACTTAAACGAGCTTTTAATTATAAGGGGTTTCTCAGTCGTCAACAAGCTATAAGCATTACATTTTCATAAAATTATGAAGACTAATTATGGTATCAATTTCATATATTAAATAATTAACGATATATTTAATTACCTCTTGAATAAAAGCACAAAAAAAAACGATGGCGTCGTCTGATTTTATTTAATAGTGGCATCTTTAATATCAACTTTTTCTTCTCCAGTTTTGTTTAAACGGTTTATTAAATGTTAGATAAGAAAGTTGGTTTCCCACATAAAAAATTGTCTTATTTTATTAATAAAAATCATACTTGTTTTTTTATTCATGTTTTGACTTAGCATCGTTTCCAATGAAACTATTTACTAATAGCAATAAAGATATTTTGAATTACGAGTATCATTGTATACAATGTTTAGTTTAAATATATTATTGTTAGACATAAAAAAATACCCATTTTGCTTATATTCACCATGTATTTGTTAGACAACTACTTATTAAATATAGAAATTAAATGGAAAATTACAAGCTATGTGTACGAGAAAATTCATAAACCTCAAATGTTGGTAGCATAAGTTAAAAACACAAATCAAATTTTTTCATTGTCACAAAAAATTAAACTTTCAAATAACCACATATGTGAAGTACTATTGTTATAAACATTAAATACAATGTGAATAAGCACAATTCACAAACGTAATTTTGATCGCCCACAAATAGTTTCAAAGAATACAATGCAAAATGTTTTAATTATGCACATTTATTTAGTTTATGGCTTTAATATGCAGTAAAAATATAATCTTAATGGCAAATGCAACAACTATTTGCGATTTTTTACAATCTCTAAATATTGATGCAACTATTGAGACGAATTTAGATACAGGAAACAACAACTGTGCATTAATGTCAAAAGATCAGAACACTTAGAACACAAATTAGATTATTTGAGATAATAAAATCTTTATACATAATTATAAAATATATGTATATGTAAACAATGAAAGGAATGTGCATTTACATACAAAGATAAGAATATCCATATTTTGATATTGCTAACTTTAAGGTAAAAATAAAAAAGAGTCTGAACATTGTTAAAAAATAGTGACACTACACGTGCAGAAAAAAATAGTCAAATGACCCGTCATAAATATGTATTTGAATATTTAAATATTTTAATTTAGAATTGATCATGTTTGTAATTGTAATTACCCAGTTTTAAACGTCGAAAAAGTACATCATTATTCATTTTTATTACTGTGTTATAAAAGTTACCAAAATAATTAATAATTCGCGATGCCCTCCTAACATATAACCTTATTAAGATAGGAAATATCAGACTTTTAATTTTTACAGTAAAACTAAATGTATACAATTAAACTAACTTGTATACAAAACTTTCCTTATATTCAAGAATAAATATAAAACAGCATCCAAATTTAATTCTATATTTTTTTCCAGAAAGAAAAATTATAGTCGTCATTTTTATAACAGATATTACATATTAATTTTTTTATAAAGTTTTATCTAAGTATTAATTCTGTTCATCCATAGAGATAAAACATTTTCTAATATCAGTAGTCAAAACCTTATCCACACGTGGCAGTTTAATTCTAAGCAATTTAGTTTCTTGATAAATTAATACATTCATAGATAGTAACTTTGTGTTAATTATTGCTATGTATTCAAACTATTTCAGCAAAAGAATATTTTTAGGTAGTTTCCTTCAGCACCGACTTTTGGTATAAATAAAATCCAATATTTATTTCATATTTTAGTAAACTCGGCTCAACGAAAGATAAACATGTTGAAACAAAATCTACCGAAAGACGTTCAAATGTAGAAAATTCATTTAGTTGTTTAGAAAAAATTAAATATGTGGAATTTATATTTATTAAAAACTACTGACAATTAAGATTAAAATAAAAAACAAATAATGAAAATAAAAAATAAAAACAAAATAAATAATTAATAGTTATTTATTCGACGAGTTTCAGTGTAAATCGGACTCTTTATTTGACTGAGTGGATTTTTAAACCACGAGTGTAACGAGTGGTTTACCATCCACGACGTGGAATAAAGCGTCCGATTTACACTCAAACGAGTGGAATACAACATTTTATTTTTCGAATTAGAGCCAACAAGGCTTGAACTTGCTTTAAATCTGTTAAAAATAATTTGACGTTTTGTATTGAGAAATGCCAAACAGTTGTCAAAACTTCCTTACACGGGAGAAAAACCGTAAATTTTGACAGTGTCGAAGAATAAAATTATTTTATGTTTTAAATTACGCATTGTGGAGCTCTTATCGACATTATGTTCAGAAATCTTTATACATTAGTGAAACAAATATCTATTTTAACTATTTATTTATTATCATTATATCATATCATTAAAAAAAATTCCAACAGCTCCTTCTATAAACCTCCGCCGCTGATAAGTTATCATCCCCTAAATCTGAAAATAGGCAAGACCGTACTCAGGTTCGTCTTCAGGGCAACTTTATTATTGTGTTTATCTTTCGTTGAGCCGAAACTAATTTATTTTGAAAAAAAATAGTTCTTGCGTTTTTGTGAAGAAATTTGACTTTACTTGTAAATAATTCTATAGACAAAAATTTAATTATGGTTTAGCTTCGTTTAAGTCAGAGACGCACCCAGAAAAAAATTGGAAGTGGGCAAAAAGCCTACATAACATAATAATTATCTAATTGGCAAAATACGAGTATGTACAATTTAAAGATTTTTGTTTCTTTATGAATGTTGTAAACGTATGAATATGTATGCGTAAAAAATGATAGTTTTCATTTTATATTAATATGTAGTTTTATAATAGTCTCGGGTGCGCCACTGGTTTGGGTGGATGGTTATAGCTCCACATATTTTCTATTGAAATCTTGTTACATACATATTTATAAATTATAACTAGAATTCTAAATTCGGATTCTCAAATAATAAGCATTATCCCTCATAAACTACGAGTATTTGTATAGAAAGCACAGACAAAAAACACCACTTCATGTATAAACTACCTACAACAGTATCTCCCCAATTAAAAAGTATTGCAAATAACTTGATATTCTTTAAAAAGTCGGATAGAAAAATTGTAGCAAAAGACATTTAATTAGATATTTTGAATTTATTCTGTATTCTCTCATATTTAGTTAAGATTTGGCAAACTTAATAATACTAATAATACTATTTTGTAGCTAAAAATAACTAAAACTCTTGGAGACCATTTAATTACAACAAATTGCACGCCTATTTATCAACGCCCAACTGTTACAAAATGAGACAATTATAACTAAAAATGTATTGTATTATTTTGTTAATGATATTTTTAACCAACATTATGTCTATTTTGTTGCAACTAAATAATTTTTTTAACAAAAGCAGAAATTCCTAAGTGCGTGATATCTGCACTCAAACAAATTAAGATATGATAAAGAAAGAGCTGAAAAAGAAGAGACCACCTATATTTTAACCAATAATAAAAATGAATAAATCAATAGCTAATTTTATAGCCCAGCGGCATAATCACGTTGACCGGTTACTGCAATATTCCCAAAACCGGTACACTTTAATTAACAAAAGCTCGAAAAGCGAATCTTTCAGTTACAACAGCATTCCTGCAAAGGATTCTGACTTGCCTGAATGTATCTTAAAATAATAAGTTAGGTGAGCATCTCGTTGCAAATTAGCACGTGGTAAGTATTTATGCGCGCCTGCTTCTGCATGTAAAGTGTCAAGCGGGACGATTTAATCTCGTTTATCTCCCTCGCACGCAGCTCGGAATAAACTTCCCACTCAAATCATCCAAATCGCTCAACTTTGCATATCACTCACCGATCGTCCCAATGTTGACGGAAGTACTCGAGGGCACAGCAGGAACCGGAGTCATCTTTCGGATGATGGGCGGCGGATTGGAGCATTGCGAGGAGGCCGAGGAGTCGCAGTCCAAGCTCCTCTCGATGGTGTGGATGGGCGAGGGACTCTTCTGGGGCACCTGCATGATGGTGGGGTCGAGGGCGCTGCCGTTCCTGAGCATGGCCTCGTCCTGGGCCTGGGCCCTTCGGAGAGCCGTCTGCATGGCCATCACCCTCTGGCGCTCAGTGGTCAAGCGGCATTTTTCACACTTGCAAGTGCGGTACTTGCAGTACCGCTTGTGGCCCTTGAGGGCGATCTTGAGCCGGTGGTTGCGACAGCGGGCGCAGTTGGGGGGCGTCCTGGGGGAGGCGGACGTGCTGGAAGCGTTGACGTCCATCTTCGAGTCAAAATCTTGGCTGTCAGAGGACATGTTACTCCATAAGGGGGCACTCACAGCACACCACTGGGAGAGCGCAACAGGTCCTCTTCGCGCGGGACGTTTCGAGTGCGTTTACATATGCGTTATAGTGCAACCTTATCGCGGACTGTCAGTCTTGCATCGGCCAAGTGAAGTGAGTTGCATTGGCATGGCTTGGAGGGGGCAAAGGGTATATCATTTACGACTTGGGCGGTGGGGGAAATGCATGTGCGGAGTGCAGTTTAGAGCCGTGTTTTATGCCGTAATAACTCCGGGAAGTGAGTTTTGATGGCAGGTATTGCCAAGTAGTTTTGTTGCAATTTGGCGAATGCCATGCCGGTTATATTAGCCGTTTATGATATGATACTGTGTTCTATTTGTTATATTCGCGTGCATTGTTGTTTATGAGCAATGTTACGGCCGTGTTGCAGTCTAGTTGTGCCACCATTAAATCCTATATTGTCTTATTTAGATATTAAATTTTCGGAATTTAATATGTGACCTCACTCATTATTTTACAAGAAGATTTTACTCTTGACGCCATTACGTCTTTAATTAAGAAGAAATTTGTCATATTTACTACTCATTAATTTTATCATGCGTGACTTGATATGAAGATGAATGGTTGATAAATGCCGAGCACAGAACTGCTGATTTTTTTGACACTGACTTTCTACTATGTACCTACACTACCTACTGCGCATTTGTTATTACTCCAACTCAACAACACTTTATTGGAACAACATTCGAAGTTTTCATTGATATTGTGTGTACATAGAACTTAATCTACTGTTACAACATATACCTTTGTCATTCATTATAGTTATTTGCGTATTATATGGCTGTTAACAAGACCATAATGATCGAGGTCGTTATGGTCTTTAACAGCACGTGGTAGATACAACGTTTTTCAACGTATTAAATTACCATATTTATAAAAAAATGAATTTTCTAATTTTGAAAATGTCAACATTTGAGGGTTGAAACTGTCAAAAATGTCAAAAGTCGGACGTTAAAAGAAAATCGTATCATTTAATTTACATAAAAAAAATCAGTTTTAAGTAGGTAATGTAAAATACGCCAAAAATAAATAAAAAAAAATTTCGTACAGTTTTTGTATAAGAAAATAAAATAGTAAATAGGATTTTAAACGACACGGACAAAAAATTTCATATTAATATATCGTCCCTTTACAACAACTAAAAAACTTGAAATTTATGGTTTTGAGTAATTGCAGTTTAAAAATTTCAAAAACAAAAAACTACCATCACCCTGAAAGTAATCAATAGTACATTACAAGCGAGGTTTGTACGCTATTTTATTCACAATCACATTATTTTCAGTCAAATTTGAGTAAAATAAAATTCTAACAAAGTTGAGGTCCATCCAAATGGGGTTTAATTTTTGACATTTCAGAAATGTCAAAGAAAATATTGAAATAATGTGTGAATCTGACTTAAAATCGTCGAAATGGGTCAGTGTATTCCCCCAGAAGTAAGAGAAACTGCTACAAAAGCAATTTAGCAAAATATTATGCGTAACTTGACAATTTGAAAGAAAAAATTCCCTATATTTTTTTTAATGTTGGCTATCCTGCATATTACCGCCCAAGAGAAGCAATATTATTACTCCTCATGAGATTTAATGATGTGTTTCCCAACCTTCAATAGGCTAGTAATCGTCATATTACATTAGTGATTGTGAATAAAATTGTTGAAATGGAGCAGTGTAGTCCCCTAGACGTAATTGAATATTAAGTTAGCAAAATATTGTGCGTAATATTACCGCCCAATGGATAAAATGATATTACTGCTCACGGGACTTAATTATGCGTTTCCCAACCTTTAGAAGGTTAGTAATCGGCATATTACATTAGTGATTATGAATAAAGAAAATTACAGTTGTTTTAATCTGATTATATTGCTTTTTTATTATCTAATACATACAGGTTTCGTTTGAATTGTAATGTCTTTTTTTCTGTAAGTCCTCCCCTAAAATTTTATTTGCCTTCCTTGAGCTACATTTTTGGCTAGGGACCTGTTGTGCCAAACTGTACTTCGTAGTTGCAAGAAAGTTTTGCCTACCTATACTTTGTAAAACATGATAAACTTCGGTATTGTTATATTTAGGCGCCACATATCCTTTATTTTCTTCCGTCAGTGGTACTGTTTACTTAACTCGTATTCGCTTTATTTTTTCTCATTACAAACAGTATTAATTAAAGTTTTTTTTTCATAAAAATAAAACTGGCGTTATTTATCTCACTTTCGCAGAAATTATGATTCAATACAAAAATTGACCCTTACATAACTAAATTTTAATCAGGCAAATTAGTTTTACTATTTTATCGTACACAAATTTAACACTTGTGGCGTGTGGTCCATTTACTCCAGACAATTTCGCTTCTTTTGAAATCAATAATTTTACGTGATGAAATCGCCGCTGAAATTGCTACAATTAGACCGCTACCGGCATTTTGATACATTACAAGAACCCGTTTTTCAATGTTCAATAAAAAAATAATTAGGGGCGGGTTAAATAATAGTTAGGTAAATTAGTCACGTGCTTAGAACTTCATGTCATTTATTATGCATACAAAAATTCGTCTTACCTACCAGAAACAAACTAAATATCTGATTGTCGTGAGCATCTGGTTAATTACTCCGGAACCAGCATACGTGGCTAATAACTATTTAGTCAATTTAAAAAAAATTAAACAAAAGAGGAAACCGATCTATATTCTATACAGAATAAGAGATAATAGTTGCGTTTAAAAATACTGTTTAATATATTTTTCTACAGAACAAAAAACAGATAATAAGTAATTTGTGTACCAGTGTACCACCTACTTTAAAAAACAAAGCGGATGCTATCGAAAACGAAACATGCAATTACTTAATATTTCTAATTTTATCTGTTTTGAAAATAGACTTAAACTTATCAATGTAATTGTGTAATTTGTACACTCAAAAAGGATACAAAAATTAAATAAAAATGACAATTGTGAAAAAATGTATCACTAATTTCACAAACACCTTAAATCACATAGAATCAAACTGTAGGTACTATCTGAAATCAGTGCTCAGTATAAAAATTAATATTCTTAAATAATATGTATTATGCAGCAAGAGTTATATATAAACTTATAAATGACACTTCAGTCACATGTTTTATATTAGGCACGAGCGAGGCGAGTATTTAATAAACGAGTGTCTAAGAAGTTTATAAAAAGTTGAATTCTCAGTACCTACTAGATATCAAGCGACATGCTATGAATACAAAATTTCCTAAATAGCAAGGTTTTTCAATTTTATCTTTTTTTTTTACTTGAAAAAATGAAGACAGATATAAGACTTATTGCCGCACTCTTTCGTGCGACAATAGGTTCTCTTATTAAACTTGTTTAATAATAATATACTATTTTCTGTAATTGTGTTCTTTAAAATTTTTAAAAACAAGGTAATATCAAAATATTTTTGTAAATACCTACTGCGATAATTTGAACAAGCCTATTAGACTGTACAAATTTAGTGTTATTTGATTTTGGTTACATACCACACAATTTACTATTTCTACATGGTGAATGTTTTTTTTAATAGAAACTTGGGTTTTTTATTGACTACTGAAACAACAAATATTGTGACAAGTTGAAGAATTGTCGGGGAAGTAAACTAAACGTTGATGATGAATAAAATATGATTGTGAAGAGAAAGAAGAAATTTATGATTGTATTTGTTGTGATGAAACATGCAAATTACTTATTCTTATTACTTTAAAAAAAATTAAAGGAAACGAAAGTTATTATTGAAACATGCATGTAAATTTAATCGCACATCGACTTTAAAACATTGAAAAGAATAAAATTGCCAGGATGGTTAATTGAACATTTAACAATCGATGCATATGACAGATGCGTAAACACATTTGAATAAATGCCATTTGCGGTTATGTTATAATTTATTACACCAGTTGTAAAGTATTGAATTTAAACTTTTATGAGTTTTATGTTTTGTGGATGGATAGTGGATTTTTTAATACATTGCGTTAAAAATAATTACTTAGTTGGCTACGTTTTTTAAAACTTTTTATTTTATTTGATTCTAGAGAAAACGAACAGGTAACTTCATATTTTATAAACTTACGTGTAATGTATTAAACATACAAATGTTAGTGCTACAAATCAGAAAATCAACCAATTAAATCACTATTGCTAATAATAATTTTTATTTAAGCAAATTACCAGGACAATTATAAGCCACTTATTTACAGTTAACCACATTAATACGACTAATTACACAGTTTTATTTTACAATTTTTTAAATAATAACTGTCGTAATTAAAAAAAAATGCAAGTACAAGTAGGTATGTACAGAATTATCGAATTGCTAAACACTTTGTTCGATTTACTTAGGTTTTAGATACTTAAAACTGGTTTTTGAATGCACTAATTAAATCTTAATATAAACCTCATTAAGCAAAATACTAAATTAAATTCAAAGTCTTCCCTTTGTTATGTCATCAAGCATATGTAAGGACAAATTTTTATTTCAATAGTTTTCCTATTTGCCGTTTTTCGATTTTTTGTTATTGCTTGTATCGTAGATCTAAAAATATTTGGAAACAAAGTTATGAGTGTCATCAACTTCTGATCAACCACAAGTAGCCTGCTACCGAGCTGAATCATCATAAAAAGATCCTAAACAATTTTTTTCTCAATACAATGAAGTGTAGAATTTTGACCTGCGGTGGTGGGTTATGGTATTGTATGGGTATGGGTCAATGTTTCTGATTTTCGTAAATTTGAGATATGTTATAGAACGTGTAAAAATATTCCACTGTTTTTTTATTTTTTCAATGTTGAAAAAACAGGGATGTACAAAATTAAGCTCTATGTAAAAAAAATATTTGTATCTAAAGAACAAAAAGACACATTGAAACGATTTTTTTTAATAATTGATATAAGTAGCTACACTACGGACGTGATAATACATGTATTCTAAAAAAATGTTATTAACAAATAATTTAAAAATATATTGTTTAAACAAAAAAATAAACAATTACGGAGGTTTTTAAAATTCTTTAAAAAATTATGTAAAAACTTTCTTATTTTTACTATATCTTCACATAAGTTTCAAGACGGACGTTTTAACAATGGCTGAAAAAAAATATTTTTTTGAGGGCGCTGCATATTGCATGATCCCCTAAGATCGCCTGAAAGTAGCGTTTCCTTGGAAATTAAATACAAAAATTACCAATTACTATCACTAATAAAACTGAAAACACATAATATGCAATAACTTATTAACATTTATTTTTCAAAAAATATCAATAATAAATACAAATTCTTCGGTCGAGGAAGAGCACTCTCTATATTTTTTTATTCTATTTACTGATATTAGAATAAAAGTGTGTAGATTTTGCGTACTTTTTATGAGCTTCGCTCGACTAATCATTAAAAAATCGCAAAGTCTTTCAACTTGTCGATTATATATACAGGATGTATCAAAAGTCCCGGACCAACGTGACATGCCATGTAAGGTAAGATACTAGGAGCATGGAGCAAATGTAAAAAAAATATCTATAAAAGTTTCGAAGTTATGAGATTTTAAATTTTGCACTTTGACTTTATTTGTTTCTGTTGGAAAAATTATTTTCTATGTTTTTTTACTACAGGCTATTAGAAGAGGAAACAAGGAAGCTGTATCCTAAATTGTAACTCTGTCTAATGTTATTTGTGGCTTTTATTGGCAAAATTATTGTACCTATACATATGTCAAATTTCGTAAAAAAAAATTGACATTGAATTTTTTTAACATTTTTTTCATGTTTCTGGTATCTTACCTTACATGCCATGTCACGTTGGTCCGGGAATTTTGGCACACCTGTATAGCAAAACGTAATATGTGAAATATTTGTCAAATATTTACTCAACCGAGAAATTTGTTTTTATTATTGATATTTTTTGAAAAATAAATGTTAATAAGTTATTGGAAATTGTGTTTTTTTTAGAATAGTTTATTATTGACGGTTATTGGCAATTGTTCTATTTAGTTTCTAAGGAAACGTTACTTTCAGGCGATCTTAAGCGACCATACACTATGCAACGCTCTCAAAAAAAATTTTTTTTTCGCCATTTTTAAAACGTTCTTCTTGAAATTTATGTGAAGACATAGTAAAAATGTGATAGTTTTTACATAAATTTTTTGAGAATTTTAAAATCCTGCGTAATTGTTTATTTTTCTTGTTTAGACAATATATTTTTAAACTATTTATTAATAACAATTTTTTAGAATACATGTATTATCACGTCCGTAATGTACCTAACCTTAAATCTATTATTTAAGATAAATCGTTTCAATATGTTGATATGTTCTTTAGATAAAAATTCTTTTTGGTCCGAGATACTTAATTTTGTACATTCCTGTTTTTTCAACATTCATTGAAAAAATTAAAAACTGTGAAATGCGTATCACTTATTTTTACACATTCTATAACATATCTTAAATTTACGAAAATCAGAAACAATGAGTTTTAAAAGTGATCGTTTTGGCTTAGAATTACTCTATTTACGTTCCGCTGTGGGAGCAAATATGTATTTCTAGATGTACTAACTATACCTATGGTAAATTTGAAACTAGTGCTGTATAATTTGGCCGACCAAACTGGCCATAAAATTTAAACAGGTTAATTAGTTTATCAGCCAAATAATTAATCCAAATTAATCGGTTAAAGCAATTCGATAAATAGTTAATAGTTAAATTAGTTAAACAGTTAATCTAAAAAAATTCATATCTTCGTTATTATAGAAGACACAGATTTGTAATAAAGACATTATGCAGGCACTTTTTATGTAGAATTTAATAATGTAGTTAACATTTTTTTCAGTTGTTTGTTTATCCGTAATAAAATAAACTTGTATTTTTTCAAATGGGAATCATAGATGGCTATGTCATTTTTAAAACGCTTGTTTTTTTCTTATCTAAAAAATATATATTTGTAACAAATTATTATATTACATTTTTAGCAAAAAATTATCTTTAATTTTTGTTCGCAGTTGGCCATGAAAAAATGTTGCATCTTCAACTAAAAGGATTTAAACTATATTATTCAACCAGTGTCACTAATGAAACAGTTTTCTAAGTACTAAGTAATGAAAAAAATGCAAAATAAATCGTAAATCAACTTATTGGCGACTAATACCATTTCTTTGTTTTTAAACAAGCTAACATTACCATTGTAACTTCTAGTGATACATAGTGTTGTAAAAAAAGGCTGCTTTAATTCCTCCATAAAATATATTTTATATGACACAAAAATGACGATATGACTATTCAAATACCCAAATTCCGTCTATGTGGAACGTTATCCTACCTCCATTAGATCATCAAAAAAATGTTTTTTTCTAATTGTGTTGACTGTTGACACATTTGTTTTTCCTATTTTTGGATTTTTTAAAAATATGTGATAATTTTGATCTGAGGCGCTCGCATATTTGTTCAATACTTCTAACGCATCGTATTTTTTAAATATTTATAATTTTATCAATTTTTTCATCTATTTTAACAGTTCACAAAACTCTTATTAATTATTATTTACACATTTGGAGTGATATAGTTTTTTCATGGTCAACTATTATCAAACAAAATATGTATTTCACTTTTTAAGTATAATTATAAAAAAATATTCTGTTACAAATTTATATTTTTTAGATCAGAAAAATAAGCTTTTCAAAATTTCCTTAGCCGCCTATGATTCCCATTTAAAAAAATATAAGTTTATTTTATTACGGCTAAACCAATAACTGAAAAACACATCTTAGTTTCGGAGATTCCCTATTCGGACATCCAAAATGCAGCGCCCTGTACAGCACTGTTTGAAACAATTTAAATTTGGATGACTTTTATGTAACGCTTTATTTTCTTTTTCACTTCTTTGTAATATTACGCACCTAATTTTTACGAAGAATATCAATATGTTCCTAAAATTTGACTGTTACATTTGTTTTTCTTTTTTTTCCAATTAGAAAAGATTTATTTGAACTTGAATAAAATAAGTTTGTGATGTCTAGAGCTTTTATTGAAGTTGGAAACATACTCCCATCTGACCAGGAGTAGCACAAGCTTTCAACAGCTGAATTAACCATCAAACTGAATGTGGTGGCGTCCTCTGTTAGGCGCTTGAAAATCTATCATACAAAGACTCCAAAAGTAAACGGACACCTGTTATACACTTGCGAATTTCTAGTTGCCTATACAAAACTCTAACGTTAGTAAATACAGGAAACAACAGTCATTTTATAGGTATAGAAAATATAGTTAGTTACCTATGTTTTTTAATTTTTTAGTTCAAAATATTTTTTTTTATTATATATCTATAATATCTTTAATATCTTTGAGTCTTGATCATCTTTCTTTTTCTGTATGTATAAAAATTGTGCTTGTATCGAGAGATCATCATAATTTGTAATAGAGTCAACTTTGGATCCGAAAATGTATGTCTGTTTTTGAACTAACTGCACGTGAAACGTTAAATAAAATGACAAGTCGAAAGGTAAATCGGCAAAAAGGGCTGAATTATTCGCTGACTTATAATAATAGGACCGGTCTTTTTTGAAGGTAAATCATAAATTTAGTTAATAAAATCATTTTATATTAAAAAAATATATTTATTTTTCGATACTGTCAAAATTTACAGTTTTTCTCCCGTGTAAAGTAGTTTTGAGAACTATTTGACATTTCTCAATACGAAACGTCAAATTATTTTTAACAGATTTAAAGCAAGTTTAAGTCTTGTTGAGTCTAATTCGAAGAATAAAATGTTGTATTCAACTCGGTTGAGTGTAAATCGGACGCTTTACTCCACCTCGTTACACTCGTAGTTTAAAAATTCACTCTGTGAAATAATGCGTCCGATTTACACTCAAACTCGTAGAATAAGTAACTATTTTGATTATACCGTTTCATCTTTCGACTTATCATTTTTATTTGACCTTTCACAGACATACATTTTCGAAGGCAAAGATGACTCGATTACAAATTGTCTTGATCTTTCAATACTTATTTGCTACATTTTAAATAAATTTGTGTTTAGTTTTTTTATTTTAATACTGTAGAATATTGATCATATTTAATAACCGACAGTGTATATTTGGATTGGGACATTACTGTACCAGAGGGATAAATAATAGTCAATATTTCCAAATAAATGTATATATTTATTATACTGCTCAATGAAAACACAGTCACAACATCTCGACTGTCCCATGGGGCCATGGCCCTTCTGGGGGTCGAAACAATTGCTGTACACCAAATAGTAAAATTGTCTAATGTAACATGGATACGGCACACGCTAAATAAACAAAAGCAACGTAGGAAAGTGCTATCATCGCACACTATGAGTACTTTGTACGTATATAGTATAGTATACGTCGCCACGTCCCCATGCAAACGCATATACCGACATAGCACCCATCTCTGAAGCATCCCTCTATATATTATATATAAATTTTTATATACAAATTCATTTAAAAATTCCTAAATCTTAATTTTATTAAATTTTATCAACCTAAAATCTCTACAATAATTTTGTCAATACCAAATTTTGATTTACACCAATATAAATATAAAAATACTCTTAAATTTTTACACATATAAACCATCGGATCGGATCAGAGATGGGAGCGGGAAATTAAATTTTGAGCTATCTCGATTTTTTTCACATTTTTGTACTAAATATACAATCTTATTCGATTCTCTATCGACGCAATGCCTAACCTTATAATTATACTGTAGTTCGGAGCCTCGTGGCGCTTAACACCAGTGACTGTGACCCATCTCGACAACCCGCCACTTTTTCAATCCGAGATTACGCCCGACTGACCAGACCCAAACCGAGTTGGGCAACGAGAATTCGAGTCGGGCTATAAATTTAAACCTAAAATTATTTGTGAATAATAGCCAAATGAGTGGTAAATTCGATTTAAAGTATCTATGCGACTTGGACAGTCGCATTTCCAGAAATTTAGTTGCCAAAATTTGACATATCAGTGGCTTGAACATGACGATTGTCACATAGAGTCGTTGTCGAGTATTAACAAGGAAGACCAAAGAGTCATCTGGTGACGTGAAATTAAACTTAATAGGGATGGCGAGCGCAACCACAGCGGCATTCCTTCGTATTGCACGTGTAAAGTGGAAACCTTTGCATTGTGGCTACTTGCGGTATCACAATTTCGAATTTAGCGTGAATTGCCTCGACTGGAAGGGTGGTGTATGCCTAAACGGAATGCTGTCTCGCACTGTGTGTATGTACAGAGTGTGGCAGTTTCCAAAAATCCGGTGGTCGAAGGAGGCGTTACAGCTGCGCTTGCCTTAACAAATAACAATAACAGCTAACGTAATCTGTGTAACATGGGTAACTGAAACCATTGAATCTGTATGTTTATTATCTACTTCTAATCATCAAAGTTACTATATACCACAAATAGTATAGCCTGGGCGAGAGAGTACCTCGTTTCGGCCACCTTAGCATAACAATATAATATTTATGAAATAATCTTATGTTTATGTAACCGAGTGTCTCTGATGGAAACCGAGTAAAAGTACAGTCGGCAGGGCAAGTCTCCGGGAGAGTTTTGGTTGGGCGTTGTGTCTATTTAGGGCCCTTATTTTGTAATTTTTTCGTAAAAACAACTTTGAAGGCACTTTTTGAACGGACGAATTGGCCCAGTGGAATTTTTGAATGAGTAAGTATCCGGTTTAGAAAATTTCGATAAACTGTATTTTTTGGTTGGTTGCCTTCATTTGCTATTGTTTCAGTTTCAGTGTGGCTTTTTTATGACTATTTCAGATTGAGAACGCTCCCGAGGACCGGCTCTGCCGCAACCCAACGTTTGCTACAAAACCAAATGAGTGTGTTGGAGGTGCTGTTGTTAAGGGATGTCGTGCGTCGCGACGCCTTCGTCCCCCGAATACTACGGTTAATTGGGCGCAGGGGCGAAGGTTGGGAGTCGCGACGCGACCGGACACGGTAAATCAAGACGTCGACGACTAGTGACTACGCTGTAACGCAACGATAACGGTAACGCAACAGAGCTCGCAAAGAAAGCGGGAACTGAGGCGAAGTTAACGGAGACACCCGGCGGTTTACCAACAATTGTACATGTATACTACAACCCACACAAAATTCTATGTATTACATATTGGACTAGATTAGTTGATAATTAATTTTATGGAAACGGTTAAAAATCGTCAGTGTCAGGTGATGAAGAACGATACACACTAGCAAATTAATAGCGCTATAACGGTAGGAGATTTTCGTCATAAGAAAATAGAATAAGGCAGATTTTGGTTATACACACTCATATCATTTTTGCTTCGAAATTTAATTTTAAGGCGCAGAGGTGCTTAAAAATAAGCTTGTACTTTTTTCGTGATATTTTTATGTATCATTTTTGAACCGGTGACCTAAACGTTTTTTCCGAACAGTGTTTTTGAACCTGTAAAGCAGAATCCTCCTGTAACCAAATCAGAAGAAAAACGACCTCCACACGCATACCGTGGCCTCCGCGGAGATGACCCCCCGTGCCAAGATGTCATCCGAATGTGTGTGCATATGGAACCAAACGATGCAAACTTAAAATTCAACACAAAAGATCCTCGAAATGGCCAAAAGTTGCAATACTCAGAATTGAAAACCGAATCGGAATCATGTTGGGGTCCTACCTAAGGAAGGGATACTACACTACCACCCCCAATGGGGCTCTTGGAGCGACCTCAAAAATTACTTAGACAGTCTCATCCAGAAAGCAATGTAATTCCTCCGGGACCTTATTCAGGCCTTTTCTGAATTCATCTGTTGGATTTGTCTTCAACAATTCGGACAGCCCTGGGCTTCTCGCGAATTGAAGTGAGCCGACTAGCTCAATTATTATCATATTTTTTGTGTTATTACAATTATAATCATCATCAGTGGTAAATGCTGTGATTTTTATATCAAAGTTAAAGTTGGGTGAATTGTTAAAACCAACAGTAACTTTTTGAGGTCTTCATTGTCAAGTATACGGACTGATGGCGGAATCATAAACAAGAAGAGAACCCATCAGCTACCACCAAGACAAAACACCGTGTAATCCTATCATTCCTTCTTGCCCATCATTACCACCAGCCCGCCGCCAAGTAAAAATCTGCAGGATTTGTTCTAAACAACAATTTAAATTAAAGCACTTAGGTCTCTTCATTATCCCTTTGTCACACGCCAACGGTTTACAAACTTTTGTACTTGGAGAATACTCGGCTCGCTATTTCTTAATATATTTAAAAATTAACACCGAATATGTGCATCAACTACCAGACAAACATTTATTGAATTGGAGAGAAGCTTATTTACAACCATTTTATATGTTTAATAATAACCATTATTTGGATTTGAAGAGCCGAGCGTTTGCTTGTTTGAAAACCATCAGCATTTACGGGTACTTTACAGTCGACAACGTTATATACTTTAAATCTTAATAAATAACTATTTAGATTAATCTAATTTTTAAATTTTGTTTTTTATTTTTCTTATGTAATGTACCGATATAGGTCCCGAGAACAAACCAAAAAATCAACACAACTTCACAAACATCCAAACGATTAATTTTGAAACGCAAATAAACCCGTAACGACAACAAAACTGCTAAATCAATCTTAAGTGAATGGCAGTCTTACAATTTCGGCAGTATATCGAATATAGGATTTTAGGAACAGCGAAATCACGACCTCCTAGCCTCACCATAAAGGCTAAGTTAAGGGCTCTCGGGACCTTCGATTGTGTATGTGACCTCAACTATTGCGGGATGTGAAGGAAACCATGAGCTCCAAATTTATGTACAATTTACGATTTATGGCTCAAAATTATTGTACTCGAATCATCACACTGTAAACTGTCTTCAAACCAAAAATAAATAAACAAAAATAAAACAAAATAAAGTTAATACATTTTATTTTTACTGACTAGTTGCCTCACACTGTATTTGCCATCGTGTAGAACCTACACTATTTGATTGTGCAAGTGATTAAAATAAACTAAAATATAAAATAAAATTGGTAATTAGGTAGGTATGCTAACAAAAATAAAGAAAGAAAAATAGCAACTAGTCTAAAACTAAATAAAATAAACAGATTAAGGAGTTGTCGGGGTACAAAATAATAAATACAAAACAAGGCATACCTACTTAATACCGAATAAATCACAGGAATTAGACTTCCGAGTTGTATTTGATACAAAGTGGAAGAATAATTGCTGCAATAAATCTTTTTTTCAGTGCGAAACTTTGAAATGTTGTATTGTTGTGTTCAAAGTTTGGTACTGACAGTTTACGTAAAATTATTCAAAAGGGAATAATTTTATGTGGGACTAGTAAAATAAAAACTTTGGTTGAGATAATAATAATAATACAAGGTATAAATAAAATTAAGTGATAAATACTATGTACAAGTCGCTTTATATACAAGGAGGAAAAAGGGGGCAGTTTACAGTGGCACCGAACATAATAATGCCAGAAGTAACGCAATGAGAGTGCAGATTTTGAACTTGATGACTGCTGGTTGAAAAGAAACGAAAGACTTGACGTCATAAAATTCTATCCGGTAAATATTCAGGTAATCACTGGAAAATTGATTGATTTGTGTTCACTGTTCGTTTGAACGAACATAAAGCCTGAGGCGATAAAATTGTCTTTCTGTCAACTAAACACAACTATTTAACAAGAGTGTCCGGAACAAGTTTCGAAGATGGCGTCATAGCGGCGTCCTCCAAGCTCATTCCCGGCAAAACAACATATAAACTGTTGACAGTTTTGTCACGTGTCACCGATTCTCTCTGGTGTTTTTGCCGTGTCTAACGGATGGTACCGCACGGTAACCACTGGCTACCGCTGGATACCGGCTTTTCGGTTCGGCCAACCGGTCACTCCAATTGCTCCAAGAAATTCGGGGATTTGAAGTATTCCGGGACCGGATCGTCCAACCGCGAGATGATCTTGTAGATGGACTTTTTCCACGACTGCTCCGCATCCCGGCCCTCCTGGATGGCCTTGAAAAACTCCCGAAGCGTCTGCTCAACGACGAACCGGAAGTTAGAAGGAACCTGGAACAGGACACGGCGATTAGTCTACTTTGCTTTGTGTCTAAATGGAAACATCAGGAGAAGGAGACTATCAAAATAAAAGAAAACACGGCAGATACGTGACATTGCCGAAGACATCTGCGCTAAAAGCAAACAAAAAATTTTTTGACTAGGAACGATTGTTTGATTGATGGATTGTGTCGGGTTTTGGCACTTTGATGTCTCGGTTAAAATCACGAACCTGAGGTCCCCATACCTCGATGTGATTGTTTCTGTTGTAGTGCAAATTGAGCACCCGGTATAATTCGGAATCACCACCGACATGCAGATCTTCAGCGTTTTTCACACCTTCGGAAACTGCTTGTCTGGCATACTTCTCCATCTGGATGTAATAGAACTCCCTGGAACAATTAAGACGACATTTTAATCAATTATCCTCCTACAAAAATTATTACAATGTACAGAGCCACAATTTTTTTAAACAACAAACAACTTCATAATGTTTAGTTTATTATTTTTTTAAGTATTTAAAATTTAAGTAAAATGTATTGTTACTTTCAAATCCTTTTCTTTTTCTTTGTTCTTGGTTAAAAGCATTTAATAACTCAGATATCTGTCTTTATGTCCAACAACGTATAAAATAGGTAAAAAACTAAAAACAGTCTTGAAAATCACTTTGTTTTATTTTGTTTCTCCCATTGCAATTCCGTAATAGGTTACGCTACTTTTTTATCTATTCTGTTTTTAATTATAGACTTCATTCTTTAGCTAATTAATTTCAGACAGTAAATAAAAATCATTAATTACCAGAATTTTTAACTATTTACTTATCTGTAAGTTTTTTTCTTAAAACATGTTACTTTTTCGATTCACTGATGTAAAGAATATTGAAGATGAGCAATAGATCGATTGTGCAGTCAGTAATAAACAAGACATTTGAAAGTATTGTCAAGAAAAATATTTTTAAAATATGTAATTTTGTAAATGCTCGTCTCGTCTTACGTTAAGTACCGATTATAGTATTTAACATGCCACCTGTGAGCTATGCATACCACCTACGTAATGGAATGTAGATCGATGAATTAAATGGCAATTACAGCAATCATGGTGATGCCATTTGATTCAATTGTGTCACTTCAACGGGCGTCTCCTAGATTGCAGTCCGAATTCAGTTTTCCAAAACTAAAAGACTTGCAAATGACCAAATGATAGCAGTCAAAAGAGGCGTCACCGCATCGGTTAAAGCAATTAGCACTTTGCTTATAATAATAATAGAAATGTTTGTGTTTAAACGGTATTAATATTGCCTAAACATGGTAGTGTCATGTCATTGAATCCGAACGCCAATTATAGGCCAATTGGGCATACATAATTAATATGGTTGTATTAGCCATGTTATATTATTAACGCTAACAACTGTTGCTTTCGATTAAACACATTCGCGGTTTGCACCGTTTCAGAATGGTTTTCGAAAGTGTTTTTACCTAAATCTCTCTGACCTGTAGTGAGTTCAAGCCCGCATCAAATATTTGTTTTGCATTCAAAGAACATCATTCTATTGAAAAATCACCTGCTGCTAGCGTTACTCAAGAAATGCAGGTATGCTCTAAGCTGGTTTTTGTATAGAAGGTGCGCTAAAGACCCCCTAATTGTTGAGGGAAATCTTGCAAGGACTTACTTTCCCACCGAGTAAGTCACACGGCAACGGTTTCTTCAAGGCAAAAGACGTTACGACTTGACAAAAGATTTAACAGCTGCTTTTTGATTTACCCTCCCCAAGTCGATTCGAAGGGTCCCGAAGACCCTTCAAGACGTTCCCGCAGCGTCTTGAGACGCGTGCCTTTAACGTTTGCAAGAAACTACACAGGGATGACCAAAATTCAACACCCGGAGTTTACGAAAAAAATAATTAAAAAAGTCATGAAGAAGGATTTATCAAGGCCATAAAAAAACAAAAACCAACCATAACAATTATACATGTAATATCGATTATTACATATTTCATACATATTGCGGGGTTTGTATGGAAGCTGTTAATTTTAAGAGGTTTTTAAAATTTGTTGTTATAGGAACATCCCATCACCTTTTTTATTTCTTTTTTTTTTGGAAATTACAACTTGTTAAAATTTAAGAGTTTTTTTTTAAAGTTACAGATTAAGGCCCATTACTATTGATGTAATTGTGTCTGTATTTAATTAATTTTATTGTTCTATTATCGCAATGTTAATAAACTCAACACTATTTTATTAGATGATAAAAGAAAATTAAATAGTAATTAATTTACAAAAAAAAAATTGTGAAGCAATCTTTGTGAATTTGGACATCCCTGCTTGGAAAAGAAGTTAACGAAAAGGGCGCGCACATGGTATTTGAACAATACTGGTATAGGTGAGCTTCAGGCAGATGTTCAAATTGAGTGCATAAAACCGTTAGGAGTAGCTATCCCAATGTTTTCATTTTATATTTTGCAAGGTTTGTGTATTGTTCTCTTTACTTTCCAAAGAAAAAATGGAAGCTGCACATTTTCTATTTTTAGTTTTTAATTTTTAGCTTTACTACGGGGAAATGCTTAAGTCAATATTTATTATTATGTTGGTATATTTAGGTTTATCTGATTATTTATTTAAAAAGAAAATATAAACAAGCAAACAGCTTCTTATTTTTTAACAAATATTTGTTATTTATTGTTTTATTTTAAATAAATCACTAATAAAATAAAAAGTATCAAGTATTTTCTTTGTTTTTACCTGAATTGGGAAAAAAAAATTACTTTGAATTTTTTACTGTAAAAAACAAGCTCAAAAATTTCTCAAAATTTTTAATTAAACTGAAAATTCAGAATTGTATCCGGTAGTTTAATTCATTTTTGTAAAAATATATTTTTAGATTGATTTTTCTCGAGATTTTTCTTAATTCAGAATAAATACTTTTTTTTTTACTTCGTAATCACTAAAACAAACTATTGAATTATTGGCTACTTATACATGTATTATTCAAATTACACATAAATTTCACCAAACAATTGTTTCATAACAAGTTGTTTGTACCAATTAACTAATTAACGTGTCATCGATGCTACGGTGAAAGTGATTACCGAAATTACAAATGATGATCTGAAGCTTTTGTGCGCTTTCTTGAAATTACATTATTATTACATTATTATTTTGTGAAAATCTCAGTCAATTTTTAGTGAAATAAACTCGCAATTATTATGAAATTTCAAATTGGATCAAAGTCTGTAATACATTTTGTGAGGATAATAATAAAATAAAATTAATAATGTTTTGTGTAAAAAGTTACACGAAATATTTAAATTTGTTACGTTTTAAATTTTATAACTAATCCTACTCCAACATCAGTTTGGATTTGAAAGCGCGAAATCCTGATGTATTTGCTCATTATTTGGTAGGCGAGGGTATTGATGGTGCTTAGGAGAAAAGTGTCCCATGATACTTGATTGCTAAACTACCTGATAAGTGGTCGAGTGGGGAATTAAAATGAATTATACACTTCTTACTTTTTTCAGTTTGCCATAACACCTTGAAAAGTTAGGTTTATCCCAATGTGTATCGGTATAAAATTTTCACATTAATCAGCCAACCATAAATATCAGATGCATTCTTTGTAAAGTATGACTTGTTAAAAACTTGTTCAATACAGTGTTTTTTAATTAGCAATGACTAATTAGCGTAAACAAACTTAGAGGCATATTCCTGGAATCTACTTAACAATGCAGAATTGTCGTTATTGTTTGGAACGTCGCCCTCTAGAGTTCTTTTCGTAATCCGAGATGTATTATGAAATTGAAAAATTAGACGCAGAAGACGGGAATTTGCTCCTTAGGTGAATGTTCATATTGAGGGGTAAATTGGCCTAAAGTGACCGGAAATGGGGTTTAATGGGTTCGGACCCTGCGTTTTTCACGCCCGTTCCGTTCCCGTCTTACCACATAATTATATCGCAAATTAATTATCTTAATTGGTAATTGATTGCACTGATTGATCTTCAATTACGAACTCACTTACATTAGTGTTATCTTGAAGTAAAGATCTGTTATTTTGTGGAAGGCTTCCATCATTAAGTAAATTACAAGTAATTAATAAATAAATTGTTGTTTGAAGCTTGAAAGCTCGGGCTGCAACTTACGTATGTTTTAGAGGTTGAGAAAAATTAATGTACGATTTACTTCGCTAATGACTAATTTGATGTCAAAGCTAACGAGACTGAGAAAGACGGAACTACATCCCAAAAGAAAAATGCCTACCCTACTAATTAGTCTCAAGACCTTAATTAAGTTATTTTTAATTGAGCAGCCCGCTAATGCTGTAGGGATTTTTTCATTTAAGGCTGCATACTCCGTTGCATAAAGTTTCACAAAGACAGAATGCAGCTAATTAAAAAAAAGTTTAACTATGAATTGAGCATTCTGTAGCGGAGAAGCTTCTTCAGGTTTTAAGGTCTCGTCAAAAATTTTCACTGTTTACTACAGAGTAATTAGAGTGCTTCGCTTTATCATCGATCGATTACTGAAGTAACTTTCAATGTTTTTATGTAAATTCAACGATATCTGATAAACCTATCAAACGCAAGGCAATTTTCATATTCTTTTATTACTAAATTGGATAGATTAAAGCGTGCGATATTGAATTTCTTATCTTATCACTTGAGGTCCATCTGTTTAAACATACAACAATAACTTATTTCTGCTAAGCTTTTGTCGAAGCTTTTGTCCGTATATTTCGAACATTACCGACGAGGTTTATAATAAATTTTATTAAAACTTTAATGTATACCTACTGGATTTTTTTATAATTTAGTACCACTGACACACGAATGCTCCTTTCGCCCTCGAGCTTACATACATGCAGCAGTTCTTTCAACAAAGCGTTGCCGTTTCATTTACTAGTTGGCATGTATTCGTTTCGTTGCTGCTTTTAAATCAAAACCCTCGGAAAAGTTTTTTATCGTCGTGTAATGCGTGGGTTCTTTTTAGAGAAAAGTTTCGTCCCACATAATATTCACCTCGAAGATATTATATTATCAACTCGAAGATGACAACCGAATCTTCTAGCGACAATTAAAACAAAAAATTAAACTAAGTAATAACAATTACTTACCGGAAGTTGGAGAACCATTTGACCAGCTGGGCAGTGTTGTTCTTGTTGAACTTGATATCGGGGAAATACATTTTTAGTACTGCTGAGCTCGGATACCGAACCCAGAAGAACATTAATTTGGCTTTCCTGAGATGCATCGGTGTCAGTGTTGACGAGTGCTCAGGAGTTAAGGAAATATTTGTCTATAGGTGGGAAAGAGAAAAAGTCCACGTAGTACGATAATCAAAAAAATTGATTTTTATCATTTGTATCATTTTTTATTCGAGTCCGTACAATTTAATTCATTTCATTCATTATTCGTTTAAATTGCAGTATTTATTTTAGAAAAAATTGAGATCTCTGCAGAAATAATTGATAAGTAAAAGAGCAAACTAGTAATTTCAGCATGTGTAGTTATAACTTATTCTTTTTCTTAACCACATGTTAGAGAACACGATACTCTCATACACTAAGACGAAGATATCAAGTATTCATAAAGTGATCTAACTCGCCGTTACAAAGCGACTAATAATAGATATCGCGGCGAACGAATCAATTTGATAGAAACTTTTCTGTATTATATAAAATTTAGTTCAAAAATAAGCGTAGCCATCTATGTACTGAATTCTTCCGTTCTGATTTCGATCAAGAATAAAATGGATTAAATCATAGGGATTCTCGTAGTATTTAATCGCGAGTGTTATTATACTTGAGTCGGAGGGGAAAGGTCTAAAAGAAGACCTTCAAAAACCCATACGATTTAAATTACGAGAATAAAAAAATACGTACATGGTGGTTACTAAGATTTTTACTAAAATCTTTGCATAAAAAGGATATAGTAGGCTGCATTCCATCATAGGTGATGTCCCCTGAGTTACAATCTGAATTTCTATCGCCGTTGTCCATGTTCATGCCCCCGGACGGCGCCCTTAGCTGTCCGTAGTCGGGAGAGCCCCCATGTTGGGCCGCAGCCAGGAGAGCGGGGTGCAAAAGCGTCGGGGGGTGGTGAATTGGAGGCGATTCTCGCTCGATTTTGTGCATGCGAGGTGGTGATGACGATGCCTGCAACCCCAAGTAATAATCACATTGTTCCTGAAATGAAAACAAATTCAATCACAAACCTGCATCGCCATGTGGTGTCCGTGACTTGGTCCATGAAAGAAGGGGCTATAGGGCGAGAAGACCTGAGATTCGTGCAATCCGGGGTTGGGAATCGCCACCGAGGTCGGAAGGGAGACGGGCAACATCGGCGGCGGCTGGTGATATGGGGGCGGTCGTGGAGAACTGCACGTGTTGGGCTCCATGGCGGCGGGAGACATGCCGATGCCGTCCTGGCCGAGGATGCGACTGACCGTTCTGGGCGTGATCCTCGTGTCCGTCACCTTGTGCCTCTTTTTCTTAGGAGTTACTACGAGGCTGAGTGCTTCGTTCTGCTCGGGGTTTTCTTGCTTGGAAACACAAAATGGATGTGACATTCCAAAAAGAGGAGCTTGGCTTATTGCCGGGGGTTTCGGGGGCTGGAACATCGGAGGCCTTATTTGGAGGTCGTTGGGTTTCTGCATGTTGTTCATATGAACGGGCATCATCTGAGGGCAACCGCTCGTGCCGTTCACCATCTGGCTGTTGGGTGGCGGCGGCGGCGCTTGTGGCCGTTCTACTACTTTGGTCCGCGGCGATTTCCTGTCAAGTAATTGCGAGGCCATCATCAAGTCTTTGTTGAGTTGTTCGGCGGCAGTCGCCGCCTCCGTCTGTTTACATCTCCGTTGATGAACGAACCTTGATAGTATCGAGTCAATCAAATTTGAAAGAGATGATGTGATTTCGGATTTAAGAGCGTCGGCGAGGCCTTCCAAGTCCGTACCGGTCGGTGTCATGTTTCTCATAATATGTAGTCTGTCTGCTATATTTTCGGGTTTTTGCGATGGATGATGAGACTGATGTTGGGATTGTTGGATTGATGATTCGCTGTTCATTGCTGCTACCGCTGCTTCTTTAGCCAAACGGGCTTCCTGCTCCATTAGGAATTTGTGGCTCACGCCCAAGTACATGGCGGCGGCACTGCTCATGTGCTGGTGATCATGATGTAACATGCCATTATGGAAAGGAGGTCCTTGAGGGCTTATTTTAAGTTTGCTCACCTGTTGTGCTAAGCTTGGCGTCGATTGATTAGGGGTATTACTTGTGGTTATGGGCGAAGGAGGCGCTGATCGTTTACTGTTTTCACTATCACTGGGTATTTCTTCAATTTCTTGACTTTCTTCAGACCCTTGTTCAACGCGCGTACACAATTGCATGTATTTTTGCTGCATTTCTGCCAACTGTTCTTGCATCGTTCTTAGCTGTGATTTGAGTAGATTTTTTTCGACGCGTTTTTGTCTGATTGGTTCCGCACTTTCATCTTCTTCGTCATCAATATACCGTTCAGCGTTACTGTCATGTTGTTGGGGTTGGTAGAGCTTTCGTTTTTTGCAGCCGTTAACTTGTGGAGGCGCCGGACTTGACCGCATACCTGAGACAATATTTTCGACTCGAGCTTTCTTAGCATCTTCTGGTTTGGCCGGACTCGAGGGTTCTACCTTGGGCGAGGGCAGCGACTCGGTCTCCATGCCATTGAGGGCCTCTTCCATGAGTTCGGCCTGCTGTCGGTCGCCGACTCCCGCCTCGGCGAGGCACTCTTTCATCGCGGCAGCGGCTTCGACGTCGTTGCGTTCTGGTTCCGCCTTGGGTTCGTTGTTGTTGTTGTTTATGATGTGGTCCTGGCCGTTGCGCATGTCGTGTTCCAAGGCCAAAAGCTCGTGCTTTCGGCCCTGCAGGATGTCCCGGAGCATGTGATGGGCCAGTTGTTCACCCGAGGGCGGGCTGCCGTCGCACCGGATCACCGAGTCGAACTTGCCCTCTTCGCCACTTTCGCCGCTCTCGGCCTTCTGCCGTCCCAGCAGCTCGTTGAGCATCTTTGCGGGTGCAAACCCCGGTCCGAACAGACCGAACTGCTGCTGTTGGGTGAAAATTGCGCCGTACAGATTGTTACCGCCACCGAGAAAAGTCGGACGCGAACTGAAATTCGGAATCGACGAGTAGGAGTTACGCGGCTCACCGGCGTCTACACGCTGTCTAGTTCTTTTGGTTTTCTTCAGGAGCTTATCTGTGTACAAACCGAATTCAGTCTCCTCCTCCGATGACATCATAAGTTCCAGCGTTATTGGTCGTTCTGTGCCCCCCTCCAGATAGTCGTCCCCACTTTAAGAATAGTCGCCCATGTCAATACCTGCAAGGGAGAAATCGACCTCAGTAAAGCTTCACGGTTGCTCGAGAAAGAGGGGCTCTAGCACCTGCGGACGCGGAACAACTGTTGATCTGCCACCGATGAGCACGAGCCCGTCTTCCACAGCTGCACGATTTGCTTCCACATTAAAATTGACCAAATAAACATTCCTTTCTTTTTCCAATCATAATAATTTTATACTTTCAAAGCATACCGTTATTCCAATATCAATACTACCTAATCTAAATTTCCACAAAAAAGCGGCCTGGTTATTTCATTTTTGCCATTATTCGAATTTAATTAACGTCATTATTTTCAACCTGTAAAAAGAACTCTGCTTATACATCTCCCATTTTGCTATTTTAATTATTTATTATGATTAACCTTTCAGGGTTTAGAAGCAAACAATAGCCTTTGAAGCCGAACAAAGATTGAAACTGTTGGCGTAAACATCATTATTACGTATGTATATGTATATAATTTTTTTAGATAAGGATATAATTTAGCCTGATAAGACAACGAAGCGACAGATGGTAAAATATTGTGAGAATTTCCAGTAAAGTACACTCCAAGGGCCATATGGCACCGCCTATGCGTTCTCGACGTAAAGACGAGCAGCAGATAACAATAGTGAAAAGCACCGGGGTGTCCTGTCAGATAATCGTCCTCATTCCCCACACTCAAACGAATTATTCAAAAGCTAATGGTTTTATACGAATGGTATAAAGTGTTAGCAAACATTGTTAAAATGACTAAAATTGAAAAACAATTCAATCTTCAAAAACAGTAAAAACAATAAAATTCAAATCTCTAATACGCTTTGCCAACATTTAAAAATTTGAATATATTATAACAGAGCAAAATGATCAACAAACGCTCTTCATTTTGCATAATAGATCAAGTAACAGTATAGTCATGTACTATAAATAGATTAACTTAAAGTTTCATTCAAGAGGTAAAGAAACACTTACCGAAAATAATAAAAAAATAAAATGCCACACCAACGGTGTGTCATTTTTAAATGCAATATTTAAACAGTTATTGAGATAATAAAACCCACATTTATTACAATGTTATATTTAAAATCAATTGCTAAATGCATCAGATAATGAAAGCCCAGTAGTGTTGTTAATTGTTTAGTTTTATTGGAGTTTTAGTGTACACGCTAATTAATTTGAAGAAATAGAAATAAAATGTTTATTATTTTAAACACCAATATAAAATTTTGTTTTGAAAAAATGGTAAAATAGCAAAATGGAAACTAATTCAAAATTGTAACGGGCTTTACAAACATCACATGCAGCGTTCGTATAGCTGCACCGCTGATGAAATCACCCAAGGCACGGTACTCTATACATTTTCATCCATCAGTTTTTTCTTCGATTGATTTTAATCTACAATTTTTAATTTGCGTTTTTGCATTTACCATGATGATTATTGATGACTTTAAATGTGGAAAAGAATCCGATGTACATATATTTAAAAAAAAAACGTTTTTGCCTGTTTTTAACTAATGTCAGTTTCAGGCCCTAGTCTTGATGATGATTTTGGTTTCAATTAGCTCTTGCATTTCATTTAAAGCGGCAGTGTCAATTTTTTGAAACCTGTCATTGTTTACTGAAAGCACTTACCTCTCTTCGTTTCATTAATTTAAAATATAAACCCTGCAGTGAGTTCATATTAATTAAGAAAAGGCGCAATGAAACCGTGAAGTAGGTATTCGTATTCTTACAAATAGAAACTCGGGGTTAGTTCGTATTTGCGTCTCGTCCCCCTATTCAAACGCATCATCTTAGAGGGCAAAAACAAAAGACCAGACTGCTCAAGTGGGTACTCTCACCGCCCTACTTATTAATATCTAAATATATGTCGTTACTTTCTTGAAAAGGGATGTGTCATTAACACCGCGATGAACGGAACCGGAAACCAATGGACGATCATCGAGCCCATCTCCGGGTTGAAACAACAATGTGGTTACTTGAAGTGTAGTGATTTTTTATTGAATCGGATGTTGGTATAATTTGAACAAAATTCGCTTTTTCTACTTCCGAATGGGTTCGGCCGTTACGACTCAGATGAGGCACGCTTCCAAAGCGTGACAGGAAATTAATGTGGAGCCTCAAAAAAATTAGACGGCTAAGTGGTGTTAACACAATTTGAATTGGTGCCAACCTTACAACGGTATTTGTCACGATAAGCACGTAGGGATACACTACACAAATTAAGGAGTCTTGCTTGTCTTATCGAATTATAACTCGGATTCAGTTTCCGGTTAACATAACTGCTACTTAAGATAATGGCTTTTCTAGAACTCTGGCAACACTGATAATGTTTAGAAGAAAACCTACACGTCTATAACTAACAGTGAACTGTCATCGCCAATTTTCGAGGGAAAACTAGAGACAGGTGGTGCGATACAATTACTAGACAAAAAGTCGAAAGGCAAACCGAATTAAAATATGTAAACAATAAGGTGGCATATGGCGAACTAAGATGAATTTCCGGTCTTGACGTCACAGTCATGTAACGCGACTGCATGAGTATTTCCGGCCGGTCACGCGAAATGAACACCCATCAAGGGAAATTGTTCCCACCGGTGATATACTCTTAATGAATAAGACACATCAGGTGGTGCTCTATGGATTCCAATGAGGAAGTCACCAGTTACATATTTAAATTATCTTATGACTCACACGAATTTCTCACGATCTTACTTTGCGATAGATAGATAGAAAGCTCCCCTCAAATTCATTTTTGACCTAAATAATATTTCTGGAGTTTTTGCCCGAAAACAGAGACCTCAAATATCACAGCAAATGCATTGTATGGTCTAATTTTTATTATTTTTGTAGTAACTACCTACATAATATGCATCTTTTTTCATTCTATATTTTCTTTTGTATGCAAAAGGTAGAAGTTAAGCGTATTTTTCTTAATTTTTCAGTTAAAAACTTATTAAGATTTAATTTAGTATTTAGTCTTTCGTAGTTGGAGTATACAGGCGCCCTAGAAAAAAAATCAAGTAAGATAAGGTACCAGGAACATGGAATAAATGTTCAAAAAATTCTATCTGTCAAAAAATTTTGACATTTATTTTTTGAGTTTTTAGATTTTATTGTCTATTTAATGGTACTGATGATCTTCTATATATTTTTTTTATAATTCTTTAGTAAAGGTACAAAAGTTTTCCAATAAAAGCCACAAATAAAATTAAAAACAGCCCTACAATTTAGGATACAGCTTTCTTGTTTTCTCTTCTAATAGCCTGTAATAAAAAAACTTGGGAAAATAATTTTTACAACAGTAATAAATAGAGTCAAAGTGCAAAATTTAAACACTCATATTTTTAAAGATAGAATTTTTTTTAACATTTTTTCTATGTTCTTGGTACCCCACCTTATATGACGTTTTTCTCTGAGGCGCGAGTTCTGGCGCATCCTGTATAGTTCTCAGTAAACTTGGAATTAAATAAGATGGTATATTTTATTTTTTATTTTTCTTCTTTAAATGCTTATTATATTAATCGTATTTTAAAGTTTCAGATACAATTTTAAAATTATAAAGAATTTTTTATAACTTTGTTTATTTTATAAATATAGGGTTTTCAAATAATTTAATTGTTGGAAGTTGGAAGGAGTTAGAAGTCTGTAATTATTATTATCCTAATGTTTTTTTTGACGCAACAGCTTTTTAAATTTACTACACTTTTACTAGTTCAGATACTACATTTTCTTGTTTTGTATTTTAATTTTTCTCAAAACAGTAGCAAAAAAAAAACTGGTATTTTACCACAAAATCCAGATATGGTTTTAACGAGAATTTCATAAAAACAAGCATCTTTTGTAGTTAGATAGAACACATGACCAACAGCCGTTGTTTACACAAATATATCCGCCTTAGTTTAATTTACATTATAAGAATACCACAACCGCCTTTCTTATCAAATTTCTTTAATTTTCAGCTACTGTCAGTAGTGTGGATTTTCCTCTTCTTTGCAATGTTGAAATTCACGAGATAAGTAGTTATCCGTGTCCTGTTCCATGAATCACGCTGAACTTTCCGTGTAAATCAATTTTAATTCGATGCGTTTAAATATTTTAAAAGTTAAAGTGGACATAATTGTCGTTCGAAATGCTCATTTAATATCCTGCTCGGCTCCGTATGAGAAAGGAACAAATCAAAGTAAACCCTTGCTGAGAAAATAGTGCCTAAAGGAAGTACATAATGAGGAAACTAGGGAGCGAAATAAGGCGGGATTGTGACGAAGACGGAATGATTGTAAGGTTAATTGGTGCTTAAATGTTGAATTAAAATTGGTAATTTGTGCGCTTATAATAAAATGATTACAGCCACAGCTAGGATATTGTTGATTCAGAACCTTGTGATATGTGGGAACCACCCAGATTTTGATATTTTCCAGCGCAAGTGATTATCTAAAAAATGCAAACCGCTGCAGTTATCAAGTCACATGAACCGCATTTACTTAATTAATCAAAAGAATTTTTTTGAGCAGAAAAACACTAAAAGATTGTTTTTGTTGGACATACCTAGGTGTGTAAAGTAAGAATAGTTGTTAGTACCTACAATGTATAGTAGAAATAATTTTTATTTGGATTTAATTACCTTTTTTGATAATATGGCAAACATAAAGGATTTGTGAAAAATATTTGGGTGATAAACTGCAGACACTGACCGGACAAATGGAAAACGTCAACAATGCTTTGTAAATGAAATTAAAAGCAAATTTTCAAAACAATGCAAGCGCATAGTTCAAAAAACATACCAAAAATTGATTTATACACAGTGCAAGAGATTCAGGATAAAAATAGGATTAAAATTTTACGCAACACATATACTAGATCTAATGATTCCTTGTTAATTATGTAGAGAAGTTGATGGACCAGCATATCAGTGTGATTAACTTGATGCATTTCCGGATTGCAATAGTAATTTTTTTATGCATGAGCCCTACAGGGAGGGGAAGTATGTACACCACCAACTCA